TATTGAACACCCACTTACTAAAAGCTTAACAAAAGAGTTTTTTTAGAATTTATTAAAGAGAATAAGTTTAAAATCTTTAAAGATGAAAAAAATATCATAGTAATAACTCTACCTAATTAATTAAAAATCACAAGTCACGTGGCACTTTCACCGAACTCAAAAATGAGAATTTATTGCCCATTCATTTAATAAAAAAGGATGTTAGCTACAACATAACAATGATAGATTTTGCTTTTAATGGTTTATATATATTAGTTTACCAAGTGAGGTGTTGCAAAAAAATATGTTCATTTTCTTAAGAAATTTAAAAAATAATATATAAAATATTTATGAAACTATAAGTTGTTTTAAGTTAAAATAAACACAATCAAAAGCTTTAAAAAAAACTTTAAAAAGAGAACTATAAGTATTATTGCCTTCATTTACACTAAAAACAGAATATTTTAAGATATTGTATTCATTAATTAAATGAGAAAATTTAATAATACTTTATTAAAAAACTTTTAAATCCAAAAATTAATATCTTAATTTAGTGATAATTCAATTCAATTTCTCTCTACAATTCGTTATATCTTATTGGATTCATTGATTTTTCAAATTTGATGAATTGTGGTGAATTAATTCTTATTAATCTTGAATTAATTATGTTTTATTGAATCATTTTAGATTCATCTTTTTGTCATTCATTGAATTTCTAGAAATTAATTATAATTAATCTTGAATTAGTTATGTTCGCTTGAATCTTCTCACGTTCATTATTTCTACAATTCAATGAATTGTCATGAATTAATTCCAATAAATATTAGAGTTAATTCTATTTCATTACGTCTTCCATTTTCATTGGTTTTTTAAATTCAATTAATTATGATTAATTTTGCATCCCTAGCCGCCTATGTAAATAAGGGTGGAGGGGCTTTATTCCCAGTAGTTGGAAATAAGTAGAAAAGAGAAAAACAAATAGGAAATCGTTGCTCTCTCTCTCTCTCTCTCTCTGCTTTTTGCTCTGATGCTCTCCTTTCTGCTTTAGGTTTCATTGTTTTACAGGAAAAAATTAAGTTAGTTTTCTTGTAGGCCTTGATTGGATGTATGAAATTAAAAGGCAAGCTCCATTAAGACCGTTGATTCATATTGATACAATTTAGCTTTATTTTTTTAATGGTTAGAACGGTTAGTTTTTAAAATATTTTTTTATTAAAATATATTAAAATAATATTTTTTTATTTTTTAAAAATAATTTTTAAAATCAGTATACTAAAATAATTTAAAATATAAAAAAATTAATTTTTTTAAGAATGTATTTCCACCGAGTTTCCAAATCTTTGATAATAACTTTTCTTTCTTATTTTTATCTGAAATTCTACAATTATCTTCTATTTAATATTTTGTATTCATGTTTTTATTATCTTATAATATACTTAATTAGTTTTATTAAACAATTTCCCCACATAATTAAGTCATGGATGCACCAAATTAAGCGAAAATAATAAAAAAGAAAGTAAAAAAGAAAAGTCCTCCCATCTTTATATATAAACACACGCACACACATATGTAACTTATACGTAATTGATTCATTAATGCTTGTTACCTTATCTGTCCAAAATTAAAAGCAAAAGAATCCCTGTTATTGTCTTAAAAAAACCATTGTTCCCGTCTTCTTCTTTTTTTTTTTTTTTTAAATCCTTGTTATTGTCACGTCGCAAGGTTTGCCGTGTGCTTAGCTAGTAGAGAAAAGTTACATCTATCATATCATGTCTTCATTTATTAGGAGGCGGCCTTAGGCTGTCAGGGGATGGCGTGTGCTGCGGCTGCAAGGAGGACAGTCAAATTTTACAGTATCCTTGGAAAAATTTAGCTTCATATATTTAGATGAGAGGTTAGATAAGACAGTGATTAAGAAATTAATTTTCAAAAACTTTTCCAAATGGGGTTGGAACATCCAGGTCCCAGAAAATAAAGAGAGATCAAACTTTTAGAACGCTTATGAATTTTCTCTCATGATCAAACTCTTGATGGATATCGACGACTATTTTCCATCCTATTTTGATTTGTTACACATTTAACGCTATGCTCGTTGTTTTGCGTCATTAATTTGGAAGAAAGCGAGTTACTATGAATTAGGCAAGGTCTTTAATTATACAGTAATATACTAGAAGGTTGCCCCTGCGATACCGTGAGAAACTCCTCAGCAATTTCATTAAACCTAGCTAAGGTTAGCGAGTTAACACAGCACATGTTGCCCTGGTTTCTAGAGCAGGTCGAATTCAATTAACGCTTTTGATATGCTCTTTGTTTTGCATCAGTAATTTGGAGGGAAGTGAGTTACTATGAATTGAGCAAAGCTTATTGGGTTAGCTGAAATTTCTGTTTCCAAGATTATATCACAAACATCAACAGTTTCAGAAATGGAATCATGGGTTAATGGTAACTAGGTGTGAAATGTCGACTGGAATATAATTTCAAGAATATTTGAAATTAGGTAAGATCTGGAATTTTATACTTTCTAATATAAAGAATATTAATGAAGGTGAAAGTAGATATTCATATATAAAGCACAAAAATAAAGAGTGTTATCAAAAAAATATTATAATGATATATTTACTTAAAAACATATATAAGTATTTAATAACTCATAACTTTTAAATTTAGATTTAGTTATATTTTTGCTTTTAATATTAATGATTATTAGCTTTAATTATGTGCTAAACAAACATGTAAGTATTTAATAACTTACAACTTCTAAATTTAGATTTAGTGATGTTTTTTCTTTGAACATTAACTATTGTTAACTTTAACCATGTATTCAACATAGAAATTAATGCTAATAGATAAAAAAATTTATTTTTTGATTTTGAAAGAAAGATCCATGTTATAATAAGTATTTTATTATTAGATATATCTTTCATTGTTAACAACACAACAAGGGTAAAAAATCTTATAATAGTAGGTTTTGTATAAAGGTTTAATTTTAATAAATTTGAAGTTGATTATTATTACAAGTTACAAGAAATTATTGAATTGTGATATTATAAGTTGTAAGATATAATATTTTTATTCAAATAGTATTAATATGATATTGATGAAGGAATTGAAGTAGATTTTCTCCATGGTTAGGTTGAAATATATAAAAAAGGTAAGAGTTTTTTTTTTGTTTTTTTCCAACAAGTGTATTATTATAAATGCACTTATATTTTTAGAAAGGAACATAATCAAATTGATTGGTTATTCACCATAAAAATCAAATCTAAAAATTATATTTAAGTTAAAGAAAATAACGATAAAATAATTAAGGAAAATCAAATCTAAAAATTATATTTAAGTTGTTAAAGAAGATAACGATAAAATAATTAAGAGAGTTGATGTTTTTCAAATAAATAAAATAGTTAATTTATCAATCGAGTTAGAAAATTCAAAATATTATAACACTCAAGATATTTATATTGATGTTAATACCTTAATTTTTTAATCCTGATGTTTTTAATATCTAAAATATAGGATATATTGTAGATTGAAATCTCCTTTGTCAAGTTCAAGCCATGTTGATAGTGATACCACCACCAAGTAAAAGTGTTGTGCAACACGATTTTATTTATATCTATATTACAAGTAATTGTCATTGAATTTAATGTTTCAAGGTTTGAGAATTTGAGATTGAAAAACTAAAATTTAATCTTTTAGCTTGATTTGAATTTTAAAATAGGTTCCGATATTGAAATGTTGAAAGTATTATTTTGATGATATTTTAAGGTGATTGATAGTTTAGAATGATGGAGTTTTGATCGTGAACGAAGACAGGAGGTAATTATCCAAATATTTAATATCTCATGTACCAAAATTAAAACAAAATAAATAAAAGAATTGTCAATCAACATTATTTTATATTTTTCTTTGTTTACATCATTCTTCTTTCACGTGGCACTAGATACAACAAGAATGCTGCTTGTGATCAAATGATAGCTTTGAGCACCCAAAACTACTGAATGGATCCTGGGACCATTAGGGGATTAGAACGTGGATAATTCCCATAGCAACAAAAAGATTGATAAAACAATAATGACATAAAAACAACGGCATTTGTGTTTGTTAAAGATGGCGCAAAACAATCGATCATGGCATGAGAACCAGCCGTTGGATTTAGAGAAGTCGAAGGAGGCTCCAAGAAAAAGCTCGCATCCATATTTGGCATAGTGTTGGTAAGCTTAGAGAGGAAAAGGACTTAGCTAGCAGTCCTAAGCATAAAAAAGATAATAAAACACCTGTAATGGGGAATTGTTCGGTTTCTCTTACAGAGAGCCAGAGCTTGTATGGCACCTGTCATTCACTGGCCTCAAAGAGGGCAACACCAGAGAAAGAACCCACTTTACCATGTAGTAAATGTTTTCTTCCCCTTTCTGATTATTGGCTTAAAGCCTTAAAAACTATATTTGCGTGACATTACATTTAGGGTTTCAACAGGAGTCAACTTAGGTGTGACATTAGCTGCACATCAAATACTGGATGTAGGAATATTAAAACATAGGGTCATTTCTCCACTATTTAATTTTCTTCTATAAACCTGGTTCTTACAATTGAGAATTGCTAGTTAGGGAATCGAATCTTATAGCAGTAATTAAAAATACAACGTCAATACACACCTTTTGCTTTCACACAGCACCATAATCAGGAAGATATGTTTTGTTAATTCATTCTTGTAATTGAAGATATGTTAGGGGCCAAGACAATGAATACCCTTTCACATAGCTGTGGGGGGGGAGCAGCAGAAGCTCCTTCTCATCTACTCTTTTCCAGGAATTTGTTTCCATGAGAACTCAGAAAAAGGTTCTTACACCTGTAGAGGCAACGGTTACAAAACAAGTTTTCCCTTTTCTCAAATCATTCAGTAGCAAGATAGGCACAAACCATTTGCAGTAATTCTGCCACATTTATGCTCAAAGCAAGTTAAATTAAAAAAAACGAACAAAAAAGAAAAGAACCGAAGTAATGTTTTGCCTAGAGATATGAACAACGAATGAAAAGGAAAATAACATGATATAAACGCTCTAATCTTACAAGTGAACAAAATAAAATCTCCAGCTGAGGAGAGCTCTAAAGTTTCTTAGTGGATACATTTGTTTTTGTTTACTCGTAATTAAACAAGTCAAAATTAGTAGGAAAAATAGACATTATGTTATTTTTGCAAATTAAAGTGTATATTCCATGAACCACGGGTTAGAACCTCCATTGAGGATATTTCAGTAATTCAACTTCTGGGGGACATTTTTATCCGTCTAGGAACTTGTTGCAGTTTAAGAGCAAGACCCGAGAAGCTAATGTCGTGGAGCGTGAGCTTGTAAAATCTTCTGCCCCTCATGCGTTGTTGCCTTTAACAAAGAAACAGCTGCAGCTTGATCAAAACCCTAAAATTCCTTGTCTATCCCTAAAAGGCAGTTTTCTTAAGAAAGCTCACCTGCAATTATGAATGGTTAGCTGCCCGGCAAATCAGGCAAGTACTAATTCAAAATCGGATCAAATCCCTAATGAAATAAAGTTTTCTAGCCACTTGTTAAAGATCATCATAATTTAAGCCTGCAATATCTAATTTCCACTTTTCGAGCAGTTTTACAGGGAAAAAAAAGAAAAGATGACAACAACATCATGGCAATTGGTTATAGATTTGAAGCTATAATTTATTATTATTGTTATTAATAATTTTTGTGATAATTGATTTGATTAAGGCTCTAAAAGTACATATGCATATATCTTCGATATTTATAACCAGATCTACTTCTAGATAACAAAACAAGATAAACACACAAGAAAGTGGAGATATTCTAGATAACGACTACTCGAACAAAGTGGATAAGTTCAAGATTATCTGGCATTACCTGAGCAAAAACTTGATTTCATGCTGTCTGGAAGAATATATATACATATAGACACACAGCATTTGCCGCCAGCCGAACATCAGGTATATATTAAACACAAGAAACAAGTTTAAGATACATAGTATAAAAGGAAAGGGAGCTCCCTTCAGTCCAAGTACAGGAAGCTTAGGATTCAATTTGTCTCCCGCATCATTCACTCATTTACTGGGTAATCTCCTTGTCCTTTTAACTCAGTATTTGGATGAATGAGTCGGCAGCTAATTAAATCCTACTACCACCCATGAGTGGACTGAAGAAAGCTCTCTTAGCTAGTAATTATCTTCTAGAAAAAAAAATGCGACAAGCAAATTGAAGATGCAGCGCATGGTTAAAGAAAAAGCAGATGTCTAGATAAGAAATTCACAGAGAGATTCATCAATGCTTAGGTGAAGAATTTTATGCAGATCTATGCAACTCTAACATAGATATAGATTCATGGTTTGTGAGTACTCCATGTAACCCTTCTCCTAATCATCACACCATCCTCTAAGTCACAACCAAGTTTGGAAGGGATAGCACCGGTTCAGGTTGAAATGGACATCAAAATTAGAGGATTGAGAGTGAAAACTGAGAGGGAGAGGTGGAGAAAGTGACTGTTTCGGAAAAAGAAATCTCATGATGAGCAAACAGAGAAAAGAAGGGGGAGAGCTTCTACAATCACAAGCTTTATGATAACTCTTTTAAGCAGCTCATGGGTCTTGAAGAAGAGGCATGGCTTTATATAGGTGAATGGAAGAGCGGAACCGGAGAACAAATTATTATTATTATTTTAAAGAAATTAATACTAATAGTAAAAGAGTTGTTCGCATTCTTCTGTTCCATGTTATGAGTGAAGAACCCTCCTGCCTATCCCTCGCATTATGGAAAGCCCATCACTGCTTTGCATATGCCCTTAATTTTTTATTGTGCAGTATACTTTTTTTTTTAAACAATGTATATCATGAACTGTACTTAGTACTTAATTAAAAATTAACAAAATGCAAATAAAACAAAGAAGTGTACTTCCATTCAAGCCCTATTAATCTAGGGTATGCTTTTCAGTCCCGAGGGACAGAGTTTATATAAACGTTTTGGTGGTAGGGGTTCGCATTCAATTTTTTAAGTTTCCACTATTTTAGATGTTTTATTCGTGAAAACGTTTCAAATTTGATACTTCTGTTGGAAAGCTTCAAATTTAAATCCTAGTTCATGGGGTGGAAATTAAATTATCGTTAAATATTGTTCATGTCCGACCAGCAAACTGATAGGAAATTCTTTTTTTCTTCCTTATTTAATTTATTCCTTGGAACTAATTAACCGCGTGTTTGAATTGAAATCATAACAAAGATGCTGATTCATTTGCAGGGCTAAAGGTTTTACGTGGACTTGTAATAATGGTATTTAATTTAATGGAAAGCTTCGGAGTAAATTAAGAATTATTAAAACCCTAGCCTCGAGATTCCAGATAAAACCTACGTCTTCCTAGGGTTTTTCATTTATGCTGAGAAACACTTTGTTGGAGAGGTGCAACCCCAGTTAGACAAGTCCTTGGTAGCTGCTCTTTTTGATTTAATATCTACTGCGGGATGTCCCGTCTTTCGTTTGCTCCGTTGTTTTATTTTTTTTAGATTAATGTGGGTGTTCGGGCTAGCTTGTGCGTGCCACGACTAATTTTACGGGCCCTAAAGTTAATGATCATATAAGCCTCCAGTGACTATTATACAAACAACCAAAAACTCGAACCTGAAATCATAAAAGAAACAAACCCTTTAATCTCAAATCTTTATCACTTAGTCACTATGATTACTCCATCCCAGTTAGACAAGTCCTTGGTAGCTGCTCTTTTTGATATAATATCTACTGCGGGATGTCCCGTATTTCGTTTGCTCCATTGCTTTATTTATTTTATTTTTATTTTTATTTTTTTTATTTTGTTTCATTGCTTTATTTTTATTAATCAGTCCCCTGTTTTTTTTATGTTTGATTTACGTGGGGTGTCTGGACCAGCTTGCGTGCACCACGACTAATCTCCATGGCTCACTGAATATCCTGCAAGCCCAGTAAGCAGATAAGACATTACGGGGGTGACAGGCGTGCATGGTGAAATTCGAACCCAGATGCAGAGAAAGAAAACAAGCCCTTCTCATTGCTAGGCCAGAACCTCACTTGCATGCATTATATGTATATGCTTTATTCATTATACGTGTGGTAGGGGTAAAAAAGAAGACAACATGCAATTCTTCAAGGCTACCTCTATTATCAATATCTTATGGCACATGCGTACAAGGTAGAACAAATAGTACAAATAAGTTCTCCCAAGTAACATATTTTATAATGCCTTTGTTTCCTAGCCTCCACATTATTTTCTCTTCATGTTGGTCCTTCGGACAGTTTTCACTATATATATATATGACCACCATTTACACAAGGTCGAAAATTTCAGTTTCTTACAGCAAAATTGTTTTCTTGGAACTTTTTGTTTGCTTTTGGGTACGCGCATGTGGTGGCTATTGTTATTTTTTACAATCATGTTTATATATATATATATATATCTTAAGATAAGTTTTCATGTTCATAAGAAAAAAAAATCATCTTTCTGATCTGATTAATTTTAAAGTAAAAAAATAATCAGAATTTTATTAATCATTGCTTTTTAGTTCAATTACAACAAAGGGAAACCCGTTATGTTTTTTGGAGGGTCACACACATTGCTTGGTTCGTAGTTGTGGTCTATGGACGTGCGGGCGTGGCTGCATTAAAATATGGAAAGAAAATAACACGATTATTATGTTTTTAAGAAATTAATAAATTAATTGTTCTTGTTAAATTTATCAGTTTCTTTTGTGATAAATAGACATGTATTGTAAACCTCCGGAAAAGACTTGACCAATCCCTGAATGAAGGAGTAATTTGTAGAATTTCTTAATCCTGAAATCGGAATATTAACTTACCATGTTTTACTTTCCTCTGTTTATTTTTCAAAGAACTGGCCCCGTGCATGTTTAGTGGTTAAGTATTTTATTTTTCCTCGCAGATTAAGTGTAGATATTTCAAGAGCTTGTCAGAAGAATAACCTACACTCGAAAAAGGAAATAGAAACGCAGAAGGAAGCCAGTATTCACCGTAATTTTTAGATTTGATCCCGTTTAAGATTCAGATTTTAATTTTTGTTTGGGTTACTAGAATTATTATTTTTTAATTAAAATAATATTATTTTATTAAAAAAATAAAAATTAACAAGTTACGATTAAACTTTTAACCAGATCGCAATTAATTTAATTTTAAAAAAAATTAATTATTATTTTAAATTTTTAAATTATTATTTTTTATAATTTTAAATTGTTTTAATACATTTATATTAAAAATAAAATTTAAAAATAAAAAATATATTTTTAAATAAAAATATTTTAAAAAATAATCAATACTCAAACGTTAATCAAGCATGTTGATTTATGGTATTCCAACCATCACAAATTTTCAAAGAATTCTAGAGAGAGAGCAGAAACCCACTATTGTTTTTCCTTTTTATAAAAAATAAAAAAATAAAATGAAATAAAAAACAACACAGAAAAAGAAGACAGCGAAGCTGATGTTTATAACACGTTAGCTAACAAAGTCAAGGGTGTGTCGGTAAC